TCTAGGATTTTTAATACCTCAAATGAATTTTGTCATTATTTTGTCTAATTCTGTAATGTATCCCTATGGTAATTTGATTGGTATTGCACTAAATTTGTAGAGTAATTTGGATAACATGGTCATATTTTCTATAATGCCATAACCAAGCCAAAAACAGTGAATATCTCTTCAATTATTCAGGTCTTCTTCTATTTCTACAAAAAATTATTTTAATCTTATATTTATCTGAGTATTTGTGTGGGTTTATAGCTTGGATGATTAATTCATATGTATTTGATGGTTGTTATCTGAAAAGAACTTTTTCTTCCTTCTCTTCCTACTAATGTTCAGAATTATTTTGATTATTTGGTATTCTGGCACCTTACTAAGCTATTAATTATTTTAATGTTTCTAGGATTCTCTATAATTCTCTAAGTAAGCCATCTATCATCTGCAATTAGAGATTGTTTTGCTTCCTCTTTGCCTATCCTTATCTCCCTCAATTTCTTTTTCTTACCTTATTGCTGTATAGCATTTCTGCCACTAAGTCAAATAAATTTAAGACCTTGGGATTCTTGCTTTACTCCTGATCCTACTGGGAAGACTTCTAGTCCATTACAAATAATGCTAGTTCTTAATTTTAGTTTGGTATTATTGATTACATTAAGGAAAAACTATATTCCTATAATCTTAGTGTTTCTATCTTCAATCAGTACCCTACTTTGTCAAAGATTTTTGTGCCTAAGTTAATATAATCATGTGATTTTTTAAAATAAATTATTTCTTTTTAATTTTAAACCAAATTTTTATGCCCTCCATTCTTTTTTCTTGCTACCCATTGCTTTGCTAAGACTCTTTTCTATTATTTCTTTTTATAACAGATTTTTTTTTGTTGGGCAATGGGGTTTAAGTGACTTGCCCAGGTTCACACAGCTAGTAAGTGATATGTGTCTGAGGCCAGATTTGAACTCAAGTCCTCCTGAATCCAGGGGTGGTGCTCTATCCACTGCACCACCTAGCTGCCCCGATATAACAGATTATTTTCAACAAATAAGTATTTATTACTAGTCTTTCCTTTGGTGACCTTATTAACCACCATAAGTTTAAAAATCATGTCTATGCTAATGATATACCTAGTTTCTTCCCTTTGCTACAATCCTAAATAACCAATTGCCTGTTGAGTATTTCAAAAGGGATGTCCCATAGACATCTCAATATGTTTGAAAGAAAATCCATTTTCTTTCCCCAAAAACCCTCTCCCCCAGTGAACTTTCCTATTTCTACTGAGGGCATGACTATCCTTTCAGTCTCCCACAGTCATAACCTCAGAATTATCTGTAACTTCTCACTTTTCTTTATCCTTTATATTCAATTGGTTGTCAAATATTCCCATGTCTGCCTTCTACAACATCTCTCACAAAACTCCTTTGTCTTAATTCACACAGCTACTACCTTAATTCAGGCCCTTGCACCATTGCAATGATCTGGTAAAAGATTCCCCTACCTCAAGTCTTGCCCCATGCTAATTCATCTTCCACACAGCTGCCAGTCGTTTTCCTCAAGTGCAGATATGACCATGTCATTGTCCTACTCAAAAAAGTCAAATGCCTCATTATTGCCTCCAGGCTTTCCATAACACAAGTATAAATAGGAGTTATTTGCAGTTCTGTTGGAGACAGATCTTATAAAAAGCCAGAGTTTATTTTTCAAGATTTATACCAGATTTATTCAAATGAAGAATCTGATTTTGATATCTGACTTATCTTAAACCATGGAATAATTGATATTCTCCAATTTGCTTTCTGCTATATAAACTCAACCCAAAGGACATCAGACTTTGGAAGAGATTATTGGAGGTGGCATCCCTATCTTTGAGATTTACAAAGAAGCTTTCTGGTAGTGCTCTCTGGAATTGGGTTAGCACATTGCATTTCTAGAGCCCAAGTGGCTACGTCTCCCCTTCAGAGTTCTATGGATAACCTTGAAAAGGCTATTATTCAGATTATTACTCATGAGCCTCCAACCAGTGCATTCCTTCCATCTCATTCATGTAGTTAAAATCTCCCCAATATGAATTGACCATTTAGATCATGCAGGGTGTTCCCCTCATCTCATTCATGTAGTTAAATATTTCTAATATAAATTGACCATTTAGATCATAAGAGTACAGCAAGATGGATGTCAAGACCTTAGATTCTTGGGTTAAATCAGTAGGTCAGATGGCAATGCTTGGGTTTTGGAGAGCATAAAGATAGGGCACAGGTAAGGCCTAGTGGTCTTTCATCTCACTGGAAGGAATAGAGTAGGTGACATCCACTTCCTTCAAGCTGTGTAAGCAGTCATATAAGAGGGGTGGTTTCTGGGCTGCCTGGGTATAGAGTAGCGAAAGAGAGAGAAAGGGAAGATTTGGGGAGGGCATCTCTAGAGAAAATGGTTCTTCCTGCCTCCCATTCATTCTGGATGGTATCATCTAGTCAAGATATGTAATTAATTTTGCAATTTATTATTATTCACTGACAGATTGCGGTCCACAAAGGTTGTACCATTTTATAATTCTACCAATAATGTAACAGAATTCCTATCTCCCCCCAGAGACCTGCTAATGCCACATTTTGTAATTTTAAACATACTCTGACTGTGAGTTAATATTAAAACACAACTATGCCATTATATCTTGTGTAGTTCTCTTCTGTGTCCTTCCATAAATCCTCTAAGACATTTGCAAGATGCACTGAGGGCTCTCCTCAGGGTCTTTAAATATGTTGTAGATAACAACATATCACTCACACTACTCATCTGTTAGCCCCTCGCTACCATCATCACCAACTCACCCTCTTTTCCAGTCATTTTTGTTGTTCAATCATTTTAATCATATCTGACTCTTTGTGACTCCATTTGGGTCTTGTTTGGTCTTGTTTTGTTTTGTTTTGCCTTTGCTTTGCTTTTTGGAAAAGATACTAGCATTGCTTGCCATTTCCTGTTCCAATTTATTTTACAGATGTGGAAACTGAGGCAAACAGGGTTAAGTGATCTGCTCAGGATCACCCAGCTAGTAAGTATCTGAGGTCTGATTTGAACTCAGGAAAATAAGTATTCCTGACTCCAAGCTCATCGCTCTGCCTGCTGCACCGCTTACCTGCTTCTGTTTTCTACTCACCGTTGTTCAGTCATTTTCAGTTGTGTCTGACTCTTTGCAATCGCATTTGGGCTTTTCTTGGCAAAGATATTGGAACAGTTTAGTATTTCCTGCTCCAGCTCATTTTACAAATGAGGAAACTGAGGCAAACAGAGTTAAGCGACTTGCTCAGTGTCACCCAGCTGGTAAGTATCTCAGGACAGATTTTGAACTCATGAAGTTGAGTCTTCCTGACTCCAGGCCCACCACTCTCTCCATTGTGCCACCTAGCTCCCCTTTCCTAATCATGCATGACTTTAATGATGGTTTTATGGAAATTTTAGTAAAGAAGTAATTCTTAGTAATGTATTACAACCTAAGTATATCCACTATGTATCTTAGGACCTACTATGTTTCTCTCGTCCTCTCAATCTATTTTTAGCTTTTAATGACTTCAGCCAATTTGATGAATTTGAAGTTGTATCTCAGAAATGTTTTCCTTTAAGATTCTCAAATTATTAAATAATTTGAAGAATTTTTTAAAATTACACACTTGTATAGCACATCTTTGGCCACAGAGTCAGAGTATAATTAGAAGTGGAAATTTTTGGGTCAGAACAGAAATATTCAATGTGTTCTGATTGAAATGATATAGGTGCTGTGACTGTACCTAATATACAGACAGATTCCCTTCACTCATTTCAAGAGAAAAGAGCCTGAAATTTCCAAAAATGATGAGTAATCTAGCCTACTGAAGGAAATACTTGAGGAGATTCAGGAATGAGGTGCCACTGAAATAGGAGGCAGGGGAGAGAGAGAGAGCCATGAGACTGAAGGGAAGCATTGAGACCACCACACACCTCTGCCATGACCTTTGCATCCTCCACCATAAAGCTACAGAGAAATCAAGGAGGCTATGACCCTGATATTGAGACTCTGAGATCTGGACTGAGTGTGATCCAGACAGAAAAGAAGCGTATAGTGACTTTGGTACTGTGTGATACTATGGAGATAGATCCAGGTGGATCTACTCTTCAATCATCTCCCTCTTTCTCTCATTCTCTCTCTAGGGAGAGATGAATCTACTTTACCAGCTCTTTTTCCCTTTCTGTTTCACCAATCGATTTAAAAGAATTTTTTTGTAAAATATCATTCTGTGTGTGTGTGTGTGTGTGTGTGTGTGTGCAGACACGTTCACGTGTAGATGACTAGATGTAGCTAATAAACACAAAAGAAAAATATTATCTTTCTAATTGCTGAGATTTTTCTCCATCTGAGGGCTCAGAGCTAGACAGAAAGATGTTACTGATACATACTTTTGTAGCTTTTTTGTAACTTTTTGTACACAAAGAAGAGCAAATGAACTGAAGTAATAGCTAGTCCTAAAGAGACTGGGAGTTGCCTTACTAGTAAGGGTGAGGGAAACAGACCTAAAGAAGCTTCCCCCTGAGATAATTGTCTTTTTTATCATTTCTATCATACCCATTATATAGTATCCTTTTTTTAATCATAGTCAAATTAGTTTGAAAAACATTGTCTTTGCCATAAGTTTCTGGTCTTCTTACTCAATTAACTAGTGGCTGGAATTGATTGGCTGGTGGGTCAGAGCATACACTACGCAAATCTTCCTAGAGCCTATCCCCTTCAAAGGTCATAGGTGGCTAATCAAATGTATTATTTATAATAAGTACGTTGTAGATGATATTTAGAGCCCCTACTGATGGAAAAATACTTACATACCAGGCACAAATATCTTCATATGATAGTTATTTATCCTTTTGATCATTCAGAATTATCTCTAGCTGGCACAACCAAGTCCCCTCTGTAAGACTGGGAGATTTCATTAAGTTAAACAGAAACAATTTCCAGCTTTACTTCAGTAATCTTTATTTTTTTATTATTTTTCTCAAGGCACCAAGAACCTCTTTATTTTTCTCAAGGCACCAAGAACCTCTTTGTTTCTCAGGCTATAGATAAATGGGTTTAATAGAGGAATTATCACTGTGTAAAACAAGGAGTACATTATGTCCTGATTGTTGGCGACACCAGACCCAGGAAACACGTACATATTAAAAGTGTGCCATAGAATAAAGAGACAGAGAACAGATGTGCACTACAGGTGGAGAAGGCTTTGCTCCTGCCCTGTGCAGACTTAATTCTCAGGATGGCAAGGAGGACATACATGTATGAGACTAAGGTTGTCATTAGAGTGAAGGATTGTATAGAGACAGAGAAAATGAAAATCACTAGCGAATTGAGAGATGGGTCAGTACAGGAAATCCTAAACAATGGTAAAATTTCACAATAGAAATGATGTACTATATTGGTTCTACAGAAGGTTAATCTAATTAATAAACCCACATGAACCATGAGATGAAGAAAGCCAAGTGTATAGGAAGCAATCACCAGCTGGCTGCACAGTCCATTGGACATTCTCACTGGATAAAGGAGAGGGTTGCATATGGCTGCATATCGGTAATACGCCATTGCTGCCAAAAGGAAACATTCTGCAGTTGCACTGACTCCAAAGAAGTAAAATTGGGCAAAACATCCCAAAAGGGATATAATTTTATTCTCAGTTAAAAAATTCACCAACATTTTAGGGGTCATGGAAGAGGAAGCCCAAGCATCTGCAAAAGCTAAACTACTGAGGAATATGTACATGGGCGTGTGAAGGTGAGAGTCCATCCAAACAAGCACAGCCAGCCCAATATTCCCCACCATGTTGTGAGGCAGATCAGTAAGAACGCCAAGAAGAGAGGGGTCCGAAGTTCAGGGAGATCTGCGAGTCCAGTGAGAACAAACTCTGTCACCAGTGTTACATTTTCTTCCATTGTGATTTCATTGTTGATGTTCACTGAAAGGAGAGATGAGAAATAAAGAAGACATTCACCAAAGTGCCCCCTGAAATAATTTTTTTTCTGCATTGGATGCCCTCTCATCAGCATGTTTTCAGGTTTAACTTTTCTTCTTAAAAAATGCATTTTAAAACAATCATTTGCTACTTTTCCTAGCATTAGAATAAAATAAAATGAGCTTCAGAGATTTGTTAACTTTAAAAGAAGATATTAAGGAATTCTAGTAATAAATAGCATAAAGATAAATGGGACTTAACAAGCAATTCTCTGTTGATCCTTGATTCTGTAAACACCATGTATAATAGTCATTGATGTGTGCAGGTGGTGAAGTTCATAGAGTACTGAGCCTGGAGTCAGGAAGATCTGAGTTCAGATCCAGACTCAGACACTTACCAGCTATGTTTACTCTAGGAAATTCACTTAACCCCTATTTGCTTCATTTCCTCGTCAGTAAAATGGGACACTCAGAAAATTCCATGTTAATTATTTTTAGGACTGAGTCCTCGAATGACCTCTGCACCTCCAGCCTAGGTGAGAACAGGGAGACCCAATCTCAGGGAAAAACAATAATAACAACCTATATCCACTATATCACATTGCTAAATTTATCATAATGAAAGAACTGATCTAGACCTGTACTCAATTTCAGATCAACAGGGGAAAGTCATGTTCTTCATTTCAAGCCCTGCTATATGAACATAATTCAATAATTATTACATTTTTGGAATGTGTTATTGTAGATAGCCTTCCCTGAAGATTTCCAGACAAGATAATACTGTCTGGAACTGTTTTAAAATGTTCTCTGCCTTTACATGTGTAACTGATATCATGTTGCTTGTCTTCTCAAGAGGTGGGAGAGCGTTGGGAAAGAGTAACAGAATTTTGGAACTCAAAAAAAAATGTTAAGTGAACATTAAAAAATTTCAATGTAATTGGGAAATATTTAATAAAATAAATACAAATATATTTCTTAATTATTGTCTGGACACAGGCAGATGAGTCAGATAACTTACATTCCTATTATTCTATGAAAAAATTTTCACAATTTTCAAAAGTCAAGGATGTTTCTGCTCTATTAAAGTACAAGGAAATTATTTAGTAGGTATGTTTCATAGAGCTTCCCTGACCAAAAAAAAAACCTTACATATCATTAGGTAATCTCAGAAGTGATTAGACTATCCTTTTGATGATCATTTTAAAATGTGTCATGTTCTTTTGCCTTTAAAAAAAGAATGTGATATTGACATATAGCTTTATGGTTTGCAAAGTCCTTTACACACATTATCTTTTTTGATCCTCATAGCAACCCTCTAGGAAATGCTACAAAGAAAGAAGCAAGCACCTACCGTGTGCCAAGCACTATACTAAGTGCTTTACAAATATTTATTTGATCCTCACAACAACCCTGGAAGATAAATGCTATTTTTAACCTCCATTTTAAAGCTAAAGAAAAGAGATCGGCAGAAGTTGTGACTTGCTCAGGATCACATAGCCAGTAAGGGTCTGAGGCTAGATTTGAACTCAGATCTTCCTCACTCCAGGCCAGTACTCTATCCACTATATCACCTAATAATAATAATGGTAACTACAGCAACACACATATTATTATTCCTATTTTACAGATGAGAAAAGAGCCCAAGAGAGGTTAAACAATTTGCTAAAGGTCACACAGAAAGTAAATGTCTGAGACAGAGCCTATACCCAAGATTAACTGACTCCATACCTTAAAATTTTATTCACCTCTCTATTCAGAGAATGGTGGACATTTTATGATTTGACTTTGTGTTCCCAGTGCTTGTCACAGTGCCTTATGGATAATAATCACTTAATGAATGTGATTGTTCACAAAAACTCCACTATGGCTCTGTCTACATGACACATAAATTTGGGTCAAAAAAATAAAAAGTTCAGTAAATTATCTGGATGCTCTTTGCATCCAGATTTTGGAATCATGTAGAAAAATCTCCACATTTAATGAAGTCTTTCCACTTTCTACTTAGATGATTTGCTACTGCATAGAAATGGCTAAATGTTGCTGGAAGTGAAAGGATTTGTGTTGTTTTTGAATCATCTTTGTAAAGAATATTGAAACCCATAGAATGTTGTACTCTTACCTGAGTTCTTTAAAATATTTTGTAGACCAGGAAAGGGAACAGTTCTCACTCTGGAGTTAGAAGTCCTGTGTTCAAATTCCCACTCTGACCCTTTCCATCTGACTGAACATAGTATAGTCACAACCTCACTGGTCTCACTGGTTTCCTCATTTATAAAATGACACGGTTAGACTAAATGACATGTGAGGCTATGAGCAGTTCTTTTTTGGAAATATTGTAGGGATAGAAATGGAAAAGCCAATAAGCATTCATTCCTATTATACTAATTCTCTTACATGATTCAGATCTGAAGGGAATCATTTTTATTTCCATTCACTTCTAAGTCTGTTTATGAAAACAACATTGAAATCCCCTCAGTTCCAACAAAGCACTCCCTATAGGATGGATTCAAAGTTGTTTTATTGAGTACTATGAGCTGATCATTAAATCATGCTAAATGCACCCGATTATATCCATTAAAACAGCTCTCAGTATTATCAGGGGTCACTGAAATATAGTCTTCAGTTCAAGGCTTTTTTTCTTTATATTTGCTCATTTGTAAGTATTTGGTTTGGGCTGATTAGTTTCATTAGATAGAGCATTGTGCAAATGTAGTCACCATTTGTATTCAACTGAGAGCAATCATCTTGGCTATTCATGCCCACTCAAGTAATGTATTGAGCCATAGAACATGAGGTTGAAACTATCCATCATTTCTGGAAAGATACCCACTTCCAAATTTTGGCTTCAAGCAGGCATACTGGGCACGAGATGTAGCAGAACCAAAGCCATCTGACAAACATTTACTGAGAGGGTACCTATGTTAACTGAGCTCTGTGAGACAATGCAAAAAGAGTATATGATAGGATCCCAGGCTTTAAGGGCTTACAACTGACTTTAGAAAGCAATATTTCTACACATGAAACAATAAGACTGTAACAAATATGATTGTGATGGAATGCTATTGTGCTATGGGTTTCAATATTCTTTACAAAGATGATTCAAAAACAACAAGAAATGATGAGCTGGTTGACTTTTGAAAAACATGGAAAGACTTACATGAAATAACGAAGAGTAAAATGAGCAGGATCAAGAGAACATCGTACACAGTAACAGCAATATTGTTCTCAGAATGACTTTGAGCGACTAAATCATTTTGAGTATTATAAGTACTCAAATCAACTACAAAGGACCTATGAAGGAAGATGCTATCCACGTCCAAGAGAAAAAACTGATTAATAGAAGTGTATATAGTATGGTTTACACACACACACACACACACACACATTTGTGTCTTACGGTAGTCTTCTCTAGGGTGGGGTGGGGAAAGAGGAAGAAAAAAAGTACACAGCAGAGAACAAAAGAAAACTTAGAAGGAAGCACAGAAAAGCAAGGTAGCTTTGAAAATGATGTGTGGTATTTTTTACATAGGTTTTTTTAAAAAGCATGAAATGGAAATTCATGATTTTATATTGAGTCCTCTTTTTATGTTGTACTGTAAACATGGAAAAGTTCTTTTTTGCTTTTTTGTATTTAACTTTAAAATGAATAATTTTTAAATTTGCATCACAACCCACTGAAACATTTGTGAATTATTTTATATTTTAGTTATTTTGCTTATTTTATAATGGAGGAGAACTGAGTATTGTTTGCAGGCAGTGAGGAAGCAGCCAGTGTCTTTGTACGGTCATTTTTCAGACATGTACAACTCTTTATCCAACTCTTTTTTAAGTGGAATCTGGGGATGGACTGGCAATTACTAAAAGAGATGCCCTCTTGTGTTGCCTCCAAATTAGATTTAGACCAGTGTTTCCTTCTTGTTGTTGTTTCATCATGTACAGTTCTTCGTGACCCTATTTGGTGTTCTCTTGGCAAAGACACAGGACTAGTTTGTCATTTCATTCTCCAGCTCATTTTATAGATGAGGAAAGTGAGGCAAACAGAGTTGTAGCTTGCCCAGATGTGTCTGCCTGACTCCAGGCCCAGTACTCTCTCCATTATGCCACTTAGTTGCCCCAAAGAGGACAGTAGAAACTTAGAAATTGAAGACAAGAAAAAAAAAGACAGAAAATGATCAATGAATGGGGCAAAATCCTAGAAAAGTGGGGACAGGGTAGGATCACAAGCACAAATAGAAGCCACTTCAATCTCTGAAATTAGATAGAATGAGGAAAAGAATCAAAACAAAGGAAAGGTTTTACATTTGTAGAAGAATGGGGTGGCATGGCCAACAAACTTAAAATTGATTTAATGCTTCCTATTATGTCTGGTCTCTATATTTTTTTACCCCTGTAAATTATGTATATAAGGATTTTGTGTCTTAGAATTTGGTAACTACAAATACTAGCCTTCCTCACTGGAGAAAGTATATGAATCAATATTGTTTTCTATAGAATGTTTATCCATACTCACATTTGTGCATAGCTATATTAATAAGCACGACCATGGTAGTATCTATGTGCACTGGGAGCTTATTTCCCCTGTCCCTAAGGGAATCTAAACTACAATTTCGCATGTAGAACTTCATGGGGAGAAAAATGTATAGGGCCTTTGATTGCTCACTTGAAAGAAAGAAAGGTCATTATCTTAAGCTTATTAAATCGCTACGTGGCAAACTGGGAACAGATTATTTAAACTTTAGGTTTGGGGTGATATTTAGTCTCCCTAAAGTGGGGAGTAGAAAAGTACTCAGTGTACAATATAAGCTAAGGATGGGGCAAGTATTTATTTCCTATAAACAAAAGAAAAGCAAAAGGATACAAAATATTTGAAGGAGGCGATATAAATGGTAAAGTCTTCCTGGCACTCCTATTTGTGTATGGCATTGTGCTCCTTGCATCAAGCCTCAATACTATAGATTTTCCAAAGTAAGGTCCATAGCCACTCAGTTGTGATAAAAACC